CCAGCAGGCTCGTTAGGCTTACTTTTGTCGCACCGTTAATTAAGGTACCGCGCGCTTGGAGTGAGGGGAATGTTTGTAGCTTGGTTCCAGGTATTATTTCAGTGGTTAATTTAGGTTACCTGCATCTGTCATGTTTTTTGGGAGATACATTTAGAAATGCAGCTCATGGCTTCAAGGAAGGGGAAGGTCCAAAAATTGTTCTCGAAAAGAACAAGAAAATGTTTGTTAGACTCATTATTTCAAAGTATTTTAAAGTAATGTTTTAAAATCGGATTCAGTTATGAGATCTCTCTTGTTTTGGTCATGCCGAGGGACTGCTTGTGCACCTTATGCAAGGGTTTGAGCATGGAGCAGAGGGTAGGCCTCGGTGAGCTGACTCAGTTCTGGTGTGAAACAACTGTAATTGGAAAAAAAAAAAAAGAATTTTTGAAGGTTGTGAATTTGGAAGTGTACTCTTACCAGTAAAATCTTTCAAATACTAATTTGAAGAGAGAGGCTTAACACAAATGAAGAGTGACTGAGACTACAGCAGCACCTGCAGCACTGAGGAGCCTGCCAGGGCTCCAGCAGAAATCTTTTGACAAGATAATTTCTACTTCAGCTCTTGGGGAACATCTCGGACTTCCACATTGCAGCCTGAACATTACATAGATACATAGAGACCATTTGTCATCGGATGGGTTATTTTTGTAAGAGGTAGAATTTCAGAAAACAGAAACATGGTGGGCTTGCCTGGGTTTTCTTTAGTTTTGGTGGCTGAAAAATGGTTTAGATACTTGTAAATAAAAATCTGTGGGTGTTTAGCGATGGTTGTAAGGTCATCTGTGTGTGTTTTAAAGTGATAGTTCAGCTGTTTCAGTTTCTAAGAGTAGATGTCGTGGATGGTGGACAGTCTATAACCCAAACTCACTGGTAAAAAAATAAAAAAGCTCACATCCCTATTATTATGTTATGTTTACTTTATAAGACACATGAAATAAAAAAACCCAAATACTTTGAAAGTATTCTTAATATTTTTACATCATAGACAACAAAGAAGAGCTGCTAAATATTCTAACGGGTTTGTACTGCTCTTTGTAGGCCCCACCGCTGTACACATGCTTGCCCCTTTTGCCATGAGCAATCTCACTGAAATTAATGGAACTCTCCTTGGTGGTGAAGTTAAATGTATGTATAATTGCTGGTAAGAATAGGGCCTTAACAAGTACCCAAATATAGAAATAGACTTCTTGAGAAATTTAGATGTAATACTTCATCTTGGTTCGCTGGTGGTGTATGTGATCCAGAGAACCCAAGTACATCGATAACAAACTGTATGCGGTTATAGCACATGCAACTTCTGTCTACCCCCATTTTTAGACTAAATGAAGTAGAGGTTTTGGCATCCAATGCTTATAAATATAAGATCTGATTGAGAGTTACAGCTGAAATTTTGTTATTAATTATTCTGAATGGAAATAAGACTATAGTATATACTGCTGTTCCAGAATAATTCTTAGTTGTGAAGAGGACCCAGTCTCTTATCTTAACCCGAGATACTCATTCTTGAGTAGTTTTGCCACCTGTCTCCATTGCATGGTGCAGCATGCCTGAAGAGGCAGGAGTGTGTGTGTTATAAAATAGTAGTTTAGAGCAGAAATGGTGTTTGCATCAAGAGCTGTAGATAAAAACTGCTCTCCAAATGCTTACAAAACATCAATGAGCAAGGAGAGGAAGAAGGAGTAAGGCTCTGGTATTAAGGTGGCAAAACATGCAAGCAGGTTTTATTGAGAGAAGAGCAGGACTACTAGGAATTCATGAGGGAGAAGGAAGGGAAGGGAGAAAGCAGAGTGGAATGCATTTGTCAGAAAATGAACTTTGAAATATAACTGCTAAAATACAGTTTTGAACATGAGGCTCAAAATGGAGGCTTGTGCTGTCACTGTGTGCTAGCAGAGGCCTGTCATCCTATAAATACAAACTATACTTCTGTGCCCGTTCTGCCACGGACGTAATGTTTTCTGTTGTTGAGACATAGACTAATGAGAGGAATAAATGAGTAGCCAAGATACGCGAAGGGGAATCTTCCTAAATTTTGCCAGGTTATGATACTGCTTTTGCAAAAATATGTTTTCTTTATATAGAAAGCTACCGATGTGGCAGTGTGAAGCAGCACAGTTAAAAGCTGCTGTTTGAGTGTTTTTAGCGTGCATGGAAAAACGGGTAGTATAGGCAGATGGGTTGCCCTGTGCACTGGCATCCGTGCAGCACAGCAGAAATAGCGTACATCTACTTAGGGAAACTGGAGTAAAGTGGAGTGGGTTTTTTTTGTACTGCAGGTATATAAGGGAATCAGAAGAGAGCTGCGGTTGGGGGCTATTTGGAGCATGCAGCCACAAAAGGTGGTCTTTGCATCTCGTTGTGTATTTGACTGATTTGGAACATGTAGAGGGGGTGGGAGGTTGCTTACAAGACACAAATTAGAGAAGGAGATTTCTGTAGCTTTGTGGGTGGAGGCTTAAAGGGATGCCTGCCTTTTTCAGATGTCAGTATCCACATATTTTATTTCTTGTGATTGAAGTTAGTCTTTTGACTGGGTGATGATAACAGCAGCCAAATTTAAAATATTTTAAGGGTCTAACAAAAATGCTTCAGTTTAATATGGACTTCAGTCAGTCTTTCTCTCCATCAGATAGTAGCGACAAGGCAAGCAGATTGTGATGTTCCCTGTCTTGTTCTCTATAAAATGTTGAAGTTGTCCTTTTTCCTTCCAAACCCTGCAGTCTGCTTTTAACATTGACACTGGAAAAATGGACAGTGAAATGATCCAAGATTCAGATCTGACACATGACATGAGCTGGGCATTTATTTTTAGCTACAACTGAAGTTTCCAGTGACAATTATTTCTTTTTCTTTCACTTTTCACTCTTCCACTGAGAAAACCAACTTTCTTGATTTTACACTGAAGAAAAAAATGTAGTGTGGCCTTTCATCACTCATGCTTCCTTCTGAAATTGATTTACTTTCATTTTCTAGGTGCTGGTGAATCCGGTAAAAGCACAATAGTCAAACAGATGAGGATCTTGCATGTGAATGGATTTAATGCTGAGTAAGTACATTTGCTTTTTAAATTTACAACCTACCTTACGTCTGTGTGCCACACAGTAGTCATTGCGGTTGTTTTATATCTTGGCATGTTTTCTTTTTGCTATTGTTTCATGGTCTCTAGAATTTGGATGTGTATTTTTAGATGAGATTAATAGACTTTAACTTGAAGAAGTCATGCATCAATAAGAAGTAAGAGCTAATGGTATAAAATGATTTATATCAAGATTCGGTACAGCTGATTTGATTAAGGCTTAACTTTTGTGGTGTTTCTTTTTTTTTAACTGCAGTTTCTTTCACAACATGGCTGACACTGGTTTACCTCTGCTGTAGCACATTGATTCATACTGCTGCAAACATACCTCCTGTTAGTGTACAAAATGTATGCAATTTTCTTTATTTAGAGCAAGTAAGGCTTTTGTTTCTGTCTCCTGACAAAATGAGACAGTACTATGAATTTTGGGGATAAGAAGTCAGATTTTCTTCTCTTTTCTGTTGTGTTTGCTTGTCCAGATGTTCATGTTTAATTATTCTAAAAGCTTTTCTTGTTTACACTTAAAATCTGTTCAATTATATGATAATTGTGAGGAGGGGAATAGTGTTACGATAGGGAAAATGGAGGTCTATTTTTTTGTCTGAGAAAGATTTGTGTTTGCTAACTTTTCTTCTAACCTTGCTATGGAGTAGGAGGAGATTCTTCTGCGTGTTAGTTTAGGCTTGCAAGTGTCTGTGTATACCAAAACCTGCTAAATTAATTCTAATTAATTAAGGTATTGGAATTTCAGAGCTTATTCTCTGTGTTTAATTTTTTTAGATTGTATTACTGGTGTTGTCTTTCTCATTTTCAGACACAATATTTTTGTATTGGCATCCTCTAGCTTCTAGTGGTATCATCTGTTTTGTGAATCCTCCCTTTTTGGGAAGATTTAAGCTTTCACTAGTCTTTCAGTAGTTAATTCTTTAGTAAGAATGTCTGAGCTAAAAGTTTAGCTAAGGAACCTGGACAATACTTTTTCCTAATCCCCAAATGCTAGTTCAGGATAAGGTACACAGTTTTTTGGAAGAAAGTTCAGACTGATTCATAATAAATTACATTCTGTGCTACATGTTTTTAGCTCCTCTTTATAGGGAATATTTTCTTTATCCAAGACAACTCTTTTTCATAAGTACCCATCCTGTTACTGCTGAGTTGTCTCTGTTATTTTGGCTCCTCTTGTTACTAAAGACCTCTTAAAAGACTTGTGTGACTTAAAAGATTTGCATGAGTTGACTTAGATGTAGCAGCTCTCAACATTAGGTGCCAAGTAAAAAGTTCATCAAGTAAAGCGGAAATCAAGAATCCTTTAAAATAAAAGACCTTTAAAAGTATCAATCCATTTAACCAGCACAGTTCTAAGTTTTCTAAGCATACAGATGCTCTTCAAGAGATGATGATGCTGGTGTATTACATGGGTAGATAGCCTTCTCAACTCTGCAAGCTGCGTACCCAAATTTGTGTGAAACTGGGAGCCCAGAGACATGGTATACAAAACCTGCAGAGCTGGGGAAGGACTGGGACACACTCTGGGATTTGCAACAGCAGTGCGTTCCTCGAGTATCTCACTTCTGCGTTGTAGGTTGGGGCTGAGCTGAGTGTGCAGCTGGATTCTAGGGCAACATGGCAAATTTGGCCTCAGGAGCCTTTGCTGACTTCTGCCTTCTCATAGCGAGGGATTTGGATTACCTAGCAGCCCTATGCCAGCACAGCCCTGCTGCCAATCACATAGCATACCCCAGTGTGGGACCCGTGTGTGAACTACAGGGGAGCTGCATGCAGCTCAGGAACTGTAGGTTGTCTGCCCCGTGTCATATTGTCTTGCAGTCAGTCCTTTGTGTTTGTCCTTTTGTGGGTAGCATGTATTGGAACATTCAGGTGCATAAAAATCAAATTAAAAAGTGGTATGTATAAAATGTACAAGAAGTAAGTTATAATGCATCTAGTTTTAGGATTTTGTTTCCAAAAAGTATCAGTAGATCATAACGTACACTTCACAAGGGGGAGAAGACTGTTTTTCAGTATTTTGAAATTCTTGCAAGTTAAACGTTAGTCCTTAAGTAATGTGTATTTTGTTCAAAGTTACCAAGTGCTCCCTACATTGTCCTGATTTCCCTGTTGTCCTTTTTGCCTGTTTCGTTCCTTTTCTGCCCTCCTTACTTTGTGGAAAAATGATGTGGGATTCAGCTGAGAGAGAGAGAGAGCATGGAGTTTTTTTGGAAGGGTAGGAAACATAAGGCATTACTTCTCTTAATGCTCTCACCAGTTGTTCTAGAACATAAACATGTTTGCATACAACACCACAGTTGACAGGCTGAATAACAGTAGAGAGGTCGTGAAAACGGTAGTTAGCTGGAAATGAAGAGACATTTTTTTAATGTTAGTGTCCATGTACATAACTGTACTTTTGAATTATTTCTGTTGGTGTGGCTTATTCATGTGGCTTGAAGGAAATCCAGTTTAAAGTCCTGTCTAAAACTTGTTTGCCTTTGATTTGGTTGCCCTGTGATAATTGATGTTTGAAGCAGAAAGAGGACACCTGTTACGAAAGATGTCTAACGTGCTATGAACAGGGAATCAAAAGTTTTTATTTAGTGTTACTCAAATACTCTTCCTAATTTCTGGTGACTAAAGAGGATATCCAGTGCTAAATGCACTGGCTTTCTTCAGTGAGTGTGAGGATTTCTTTATTTGCTTTGATTTTAGGATGAAGGGACTGTCATCATGTGCATTTAGGTGAGTTGTTGTAGCGTTTAACAAGGTGAAATCTATGTAGTTCTACAAAACTAGAAGAATTTCCTCTGAGACTCCAATCCTTGATCGCTTTAGCTAATTAATTATTTGAGGAACTGTATGGAATCAAGTGTTCCAGGTAATTAATATGCTTAATAGTTAACAATGCTAGGGTGAATTTGAAAGTGGTTAAAGTTCTAACCAAATTAACTACAGTAAAGACTATATAAATTTTTTTTGATGTTATTTTTATAATCTGTAATAGAGTTAGAGACAGAAATATTTTGATTTTGTTGTTCCTGTTGTGAAGGTGATGTGTGGTGGTGAAGGAACAGTGCTGTGGCATTGGTAAGCAGAGTAGACTATTGGAGAAGCAAGGCATAGTCCTCAGCATAGGTGTTTTTGGATGGAGTTTTTGGAAGGGCTTAGCCTGCTTCCAGCTCTTGCAGGATGGCTTCACTTGGCCCTGCTATCAACTGAGGTCTTCCTACAGCGGTTTCATAAGTAATGGGAGTGTGACTTCACCGCAGTATTCTTCCAGTGTGCCACATCTTTAACATGGAAGAGCTGCATTTTAAGCATAATCAAGACTCCATATCAACCAAATTTTGCACTCTTTGCATTACTGCCAACAACAGAGACCCTTGTGATGTAGAAAGGATTTAAATTTGGCTTGTAATAGCAGGAAGCCTGTGACTTCCCTTCCTTTCCTTCCCTTCCTCCTCATCACTTCAGCTGTCTTTTCATGAGGCTGTTCCAGAGGAGTAGGTCTCTGGTGTTGCGTACTGCATTTTGTGAGCACCCACTGATAAAGTGGAGCTAAAAATCTTTTCTTTTTGACTGTGCGGAACTTCAGATCCCAATCTTTATGAACCAGAAAGGATTAAAAATGGGAAAGGGAGGACAGGAGGAATAAGGAATGTAGTTGGAAGAGTTAATGTAAATTTATGGTTCAGGTTGAAGAGGGGAAAAAACGCAACTTTTTTCTGTGTTATCTTGGGGTCGGGGTTCTTTGCTTCTAAGATGATGGCCTTTCACTGACTTTTTTTTTTTTCTTTTAAGCCGTCTTTCCCCTCTGTGATCACTGTGGGTTTGGCTGACAGACTCTAAGGAGAGGGTCATTGTCATGCAGGATTTTAGAAAGTGGGAAATTGGCAAGGGTGATAGACAATTTTGAAGTGTCATGGGAAAAACTGGGACAAGCAGAAATATTTAGATAGAAATAAATTGTTGAAATGTGACTTACAAAATCCACTACAAAGATTGACACGTAAGGGGAATGTGCCTTTGTGATTAGTAAGTTTGGATAGTGTTTATGATTCAGGAAGTCCTGAGGTTATAGGGAATTTCAGATAATGCTTTTCAGCCTCAGTTTCCCAAATGTTGTATAATGATGACTTTATTTCTTGAACTGGTATGTTGAAGCGTGGAATAGGAGTCAATGTGTTTATCACATCTGTTAGTGATAATCGCAGAAGCAGAATTGAATAGCTTTATTTTCAAGACTTAGGTGGCAAATATGTTTATATTTCTCTCGTACTTTTAAAAATTATTTTCTCTTAGTGGGGAAGTTAAGAAAGCCAAGTCACTCTCTTAAAGATTTGGTACTTTTTTCTTTTCTCACTTAGATTTAGTAGTTCGTGAGAAAGGAAATGTAGTCATTGGTGCTTTCTAATCTTTTCTTTATACATCTTGTCCACCAGAAGTTGAACTGACTGCAGTACCACCGTTATTACGCATAAACCAGTTAATGATGTTGTCTAGTCACATTGGTCAATGTCAATCTCTTTTGTGACTGAAATGACTTCTGTCTTGGCAACTGTACTCTTCTGCTATCTGATACTGTTTTGTTTTCTAACTTTGGTCTTTTTATGTGTGTGATTTTATGGAAGTTAATGTTATGAGTGAGGAAAAAGCATAATATTTATAACTAAGTCTTTTAAAATAACGAATCCCCTCCTAATGGCTAGTATTAGTTTGTATATACAAACGTTATTGCTCTATTTTTACAGTTCCTTTAGATTTGTGTACCAATACCATGTTTTTAGAATGGTGACATCAGTTCCTTGCCAAGAAACAAACTGCCTTTATTGTATTTTACTCTACTGGCAACAAAAATAATTTTTTCCTGGTGTTTGAGTAACATTGAAAATTGGAGGGGGGGGATTGATGTGTGTGATTTCTCGCCGCCCCCCCTTCTTTCTTTCTTTCTTTGCATCACAGTTGAGAGGCTTCTGCAGATTTGAGGCAGAGCGCATTTTTTTTTTTTTCCTTTTCTCAGCTCCTGTTCCAGGACACAGACGAGGTGTTACTGTGCTGGAAAATTTGTGTGTACATGTCTGTTCAAGACTATGAAAAGTTCCATTCCAGCTGAACAACTAGTTACGGGTTTTGATCAAGATTTGTGCTGTAGAACATAACGTGAAGGTGTGGGCAGAGAGAGGAGCAGGATATGTATTTCAGTCTATTTTAGGTCTTGTCCTGAGAACTGACACAGTCATGTAATTGAATTTTGTCAAAAGACAAGAATATACCAACAGTGAATAAATAGTATGATTAAGAACTGAGTACTGCATATAGCTTGTAAAAGTTTATGCAAAATGTGTATGCAAGTTAAATATAACTTGAAAGAAATGGTAGGTAGTACGTGGTGACGTTAAACAACCTAAGTGAACCAGAAATTTCGTAATTGTTAGGATGTTTAATGTTGTGTTTATGCACTTGAAATTATCTTTTCTTTGGAAATACTTTTATTTCTACAAAGGGGAAAATTCCATTCTGTGAAAAGATAAACCTGAACTCAATGAAGCAGCATTACTATTTCATTATGTTATAAAGTAAAAAGGAAAGAAGTTTCCAGTTTTGGGGCTTTTCAAGTTTCTTGTGGTATCTTGCCCTAAGATATGAGACATCCTCCATTAGGAACGTGTGCAAATGTTTTGCATTTAAATGTACTACTCAGATGTGATTTCAAATACTCTAAAATGAGTTTTCAGAATATTCTGATAGTTTATAATACCTACGCTGGGCCTTACTTGGCAAAGAACATTAACATACTGTGGTCCTCAATATTCTGATATTCAATGGAATAACTCTACCTTGCTCAGAGATGTTCTGAAATCAAGCCATTAAAATATTTCCATGTGCAAGTGAAGTGAATTTTTCTTTTTCAGGGTGCAAAATGATGTTATTTAGGTTCCTGAAAGTATTACAGAAAAGTGATGCATGAAGCAATCTGAAAGTATTAAAAAACTGGTTAGTTCTATCTGTTTTTAGATGCTTGTGGCCAACCATAAGTGGAGAGATGACAACACACTATTGAAGGAAAGCATAGACTTTCGTTTTTACATTATGCTTTGTTTTCAACTGCTTGTTTTGTGTGTTTGCTTTTTCAAGACACTCTTACTTACATACAAGAAGGAAAAGTGAGAATTGAACATAAAAATTTTTTAAATTTTTATAATTGCATGGGAAACGGAGTGTTGCTCATAGCAGAGCGTGCATCTTACCTGCATTTACTGGTTGGTGGGAAGTGTTGATTTCTCCTAGCAAAGCAGTATTTAAACTAGCAGTTTTGTGTTGTTGCACACTGAGACTTCTCTGTCCTCTGAATTACTGTTCCTGGCCTTGCAACTTGACATTTGTGCTTTTGGTTAAATATTTCAGTTTCCTGATTTAAAAAAACAACAACAAAAAACCCAGTGGTAAACTCATCCCTTAAGCTAAATTTGCAAATGTTGCAGACATGATTTCGCATGTAAAGGGACTGACCAAAAAATATGGCAGTAGTTTTATTTGTTTTGACGTTTGAATTTCACAAAAGGTTTTAAAGTATACATAGGCAGCTATCAACCTAGTAGAGAGCTTTATAGTTAGAGTTGTAGAGAGCTTGGAGGGCAATAACTATGAATAGTGGAATAAGCATGAGTGATGTAATCTGAGAAGCAAAAGAGAAAGACAGAAGGGAGCCTAAGACTTAACTATGTGGAAAACATTGTGAATGGGTCTGGGAGGATTTTGACTTTTGATGGTGGATGTGGGATTTTACCCATTAGCTTTGGTGAAAACAAACCCTGTTTTACAAAATTTGCAAGTTTCCTTTTAGCTTCTCAAAACAGCAAATAAACTGTTTTATGGGAAGCGGAGCTAAATGAAGTCTGATTTCTGTAACTTGTTCTGTGCCTCCCAAATATTTTCTGCAATAGTCCCTCCCAGTCCCCTACAGCATCCACAGTTCCTCCCTATGGGGCCCGTAGCTCTCCAGGTATCTCTTGTTTCCTCCAACTGATGCAGTCCTCATTCTAGTCTATGACCCTGATGTTCCCTGCAACACTGACCCCTAAAATACTCTTGATTCGTCCTGTTCTTTATCTTCCTTTTTTTCTGCTTTTCCTGCTGCCTGGACAAGTTAGCATGTGTTGTGGCTGGTGTAGATCTACATGAGCTTTTCCTGCTTTTCCTTATTGGAGCACTAATTTTGTCTCTTTTCTACTCAGCCTCTCATTTTCATTTCTGGAAATAAATCTCTGCAACAGCAACCTCCTTCAAGTTTGGTTGAAGTTGGACAACACTATCTGAGAGAGAGTGAGAGACTGAGAAAGTCCTACTCTTCCTCAATTCACTCTGAATATTTTTTGAAATATTTTTACTCTGCACATTCATGACTTAAAGTGGAAGTGGTATGTTTTTCTCCATTTTTTTATCTTAAGCAAACATCTACTAGTAAAAGCCAATTTATGATGTTCTATTTAATTTGTTATTTAATAAATCACAAACTATAATAAATACCCCCAGAAAACTTCAGATAACTTCAAAAATGTACCTCTGTATGGAGAATATTAAATCTATATCTATATTGCACACTTGAATGGAAAAAAAAAATGCAGTAATATATCAGGTTTTCCTCAGCTCTACTCAAGAACTAGACCTGCAGAGTGGTTACCATTTCTCTAGCCAGTGTTACAGAATCGGTATTATGTGAAGAATTTTCTTCCACAGTATCTCACTGGATTTTTTCTTGTCCCATATATTTTGGATGGGCAGACTGGGCAGTGCTCTGATTTTCCTGGTAAAAAATAGTTTTACTGATTTATCCAGATGGATGTTTGAATTACTTTATATATGACCAGAATACTTTTTATCATCTTGAGCTCATGGAAGGTTACCTTTTTGGTATTAAAACTATACCTTCACATTATTACAATCCCTGAAGATTCCCCTTACTTCATTGCGTAGCTATGTTTCATCTGTTGCCAGTCATTCCAGCTGGGGAAATTTTTTCAGTTTCATTATGTTAAAACCTAGTGTGTTTGTCCCATAAGATACACCTTATTATTAATAAATCGTGTGCCTTTCTGAGTTCCTTCTAGCAGTCTAGATATGTTATTTCTTGTTCCTGTTTCTTAGGTTGCTGGGCATCCTGCGTTGTTACGGTCTCTGTGGGATAGGTTCAGTAAAAGCAAAGAAGTGTCCTGTCGTTTGTCTTCTCTTGGGCTGGGGGAGCAGGTTTGTGGGGTTCTGAGGGATTTTTTTAAAAAATATAAAACACTACTCTTGTTCCAGTTTTGTAAGCATCCTTCCTGAGTATCTCCTAGATCAAGGCAGGCATAGCTAATGCTTTGAAGTATAATCCAGCAGGAAAATTTATCTTTATTTTTAGATATATCATACATTTGTATGTTACAGTTGTTCAAGTTCCAACTCTGATGAAGAGCTGAGATACAGAAATTGTTCAGATTAATCTTGGTCATTGACAGCTGTCAAGTTGAAATGTAGGAATTTCCACTGATGAGGGTTTTCTTAAAAAAAAAACCAACTTGAATCCTGATGTCAAAAATAATATGCCCTCCGTTTTACTTTGACAATTGAATCTTGAGTTCCTAGTAAATGCAAGAGTATTTAGCATACAGTGCAAGTGTAGCTGCACCAACCTTTAATAGTTGTTTCTACAACTGTACTCTAATGTAAACATGCAGTTAATTAGAATTACTTGTTTACAGCTGAGCTTGCTTACTTAGAAACAGCAATATGTTGAGGTATGTTTTTGACAGCTAAGGGGCAAAATTATCCACTTTTTGAGGAATGTAGTAGTGGAATGTCTTGATGAAATGTTCTGTTACAAGGTGTTTGCTGTTACAAAAGTATGAAAAAGCTTGTGACCTTCTCTATTAGCTACCTGTTGCTGACTGTATTCTCCAAAGGGCTATTTATTAAGTCATTGTGTTCACTTGTCTTTTTAGTTCAGGCACCAGAAAATAATCATCTCTCCCAGCTGCACCCTTGTAGCCTCCCAAGAGTGGTGGGCGAACTAATGGAGCAGGCAGAGGTGTGCAGGATTTCCTTCTGAGGTTTAGAGTAATCCCAGTAGACGTTACATTTAGCCTTGAATGGCAACTTCACGGCAAGCTGGGGGATTTACTATTGCCTCCTTAGTCATTGTGATTTAAATACTCTCTTCTTGTCTGTAGGTCTACGTGCATAGATGCAGTTTTGTTTCCTTCAAGTTAAGACATTTTTATTCTGTTTTTCCTATACAATTCTCTATATAATATAAATGTTCATGTTAATTAGAAAATGTTGCAAGGAAATGGGTATCGATGAAGTAGATTTCTTCCTTAAGTTTGTAGTGAGAAAGGATGCC